CTGAAGACATACTCATAGAACAGCTGAAACTCGTCGTTGCGATCGTTGTTGACATCGATATACATATCGATTATCTTCACCGCTCTCTCCATCACATCCGACAATTGGATCGCCTCTTCGTCCGTGAGAACTGTCTTGAAATCCGTGAGACTTTGTATGTATTTAACGCTATTCTTGTGGTGATTCAAGTGATCCAGGATTTCGAAGCACTTCCTCCGGAGCTTCACGCGATTGAATCGCTGACTACCGAGTTGTCTGTCCTTCAGGTCGAAGAACTCTTCGCGTTCATCGAAACGGGTCTTAATTTTCTTCAATTCACTCAATTGAAAGACGAGAATATTCTGTCGCTTCTGTCGCTCATCGCAGTGGACATCCATTTCGCGAAACGACTCCAAGAACTCTTTGAGCCTCTCTTTCGACTTCCGGTACTTCTTCTGCAGCTCTTTATTGGCTCCAATCCTCTGCAGTCGCTTATCATCGCCGGCACTGTCCTTACCATCGATGATGACATCAAACGGCGGTCTCCGCACATCACTCGCCACTTGATTGCCGTGTTTTACGAGAGTCTTGTTATCACTCCATCGGCGGTGCACTTGATTTTCGGCCAAACGTCGCGCGAAGTACTGACTGTTGTCTTCGGAAAGTCTATACTTTTTGTCGTCGCGTTCGCGTCGAGAGCTGATCCGCTTCTCCGTCAAATCGGGTCTTCCCTTCACGTAATACCACGGATGAAGTGTCGGCGCTATAGCGGCGCCGGTGGTGGTGGCCATCGATGGGTCGCTTCTATGGTGTCGCCGGTGATCGTCGACTGATTTAACACCTGTTGCTGTCTTTGACACCGCATTCAAGCCGTCGATTGATTTGGTTTTTATCGCAAAACTCTTCTTCATGTCTGCGCTGAATATCACTCACAGACTGATCGACACAATGGTAGCCAAGAGGTGGTGATTAGCAACGGATGCGTTGACTGTCACAACATATCACCAAAACTTGTCAACACTTTGTGTCATTTAATTTATGATCGATTTCAACTAGACTACCCTGGTATAATAATAATATGATTAGAGTACAGATTAATTTAATTAAATTTAAACAATTTAATGAAATAATTTGAATCAATGTTTTGTGTTTAGTAACGGTAACAGGTTGTAGGTTTAATTAAGCATTATTGTTGTGGAGACTATGCGTTTGATTTAATGCGAAACGTCTACAATAGTCATCACACAACCGTACGATTGCAGCAATGAGAGGACTAACGTAAATTTAATATTTTTTTATTGCAAACGTATTGTATGTATGAAAGCGAGAATTGACTTCTCATTGGATTTGTGTTTATGTTTTGATGAAACTTTCATTTCAATTGTGTTTAAAGTTTGAGTTATTTTTGGCATAAATTGGGTTTTAATTGCAATTCAATTTGTGCTCAAAATGAGTCATCAGTTGTAATGGTTTGACGACTAAATGGTTATGAATTGTGTGAAAGTGTTTGACTTTAAAGTAAGTTTATGGTAATGAATGGCAATTGAATCTTGATTGTGTGATCAATTATTAGCAATGCAATGCAATAATTAGCATTTGTAAAGTGACTCTCATTTGAATGCCATTAGATTATCTTATTTATGTTTTTAGTAAACAAATTGTATTTTAATTATATTTAATTTGTTTAAATAGTTTTATATAAAGCAAAATCTTTTAACAAGTTTATAATAAAAGATAACTTAATCATTTACAATATTTACTAAACTTTATAAATTTAAACTTTTCATTTGCAAACGTTTTGTATGAATGAAAGCGTGAATTGACTTCTCATTGGATTTGTGTTTATGTTTTGATGAAACTTTCATTTGAATTGTGTTTAAAGTTTAGGTTATTTTTGCCATAAATTGGGTTTTCATTGCAATTCAATTAGTGCGAGAAATGAGTGAAACTTTTGCGGATTTATCGCAATTAAGTCGCGAAGACTTGATTTCAATGATAAATAGTTTGAAAACAGATTTATTGAAATATAAATTAGTTTCAAATAAATGCCAAAAATATTTAAATGATTTACAAAACAATAAACAAATTAATTATAAAACAAATCAAGAAATACTTGATTTGATCGCAAGTAATGCCACCGAAACTGATGGCACTAATAGTGCACGTCTTCAGCGGTTATTTAGCGGAAGTGTTGACCAAAACGCTAAACAATTGCCGGAAAAACACAACAACTCCGGAGGAAGTGGTCATCACTTGAATGAACCAAATGAGCGGATAATTGGTGTCTATTTCTGTCACTGGAAGGGATGCGGCAAACGGTTCACCAGTTTATTGGATATGTGTCGACACAAAGAGTTTGATCCGAGCGGTGATGACACGACCCAAGAACCGGTCAAACAGTATGCCTGCGATTGGATGGACTGCGGGAAGAGGTTTACCACTGAATCACGACTACATCGACATCAACTCAGCCATACTTCACATACAAATGAGTCGATTGGGAAGCGCCAGAAGAATGTGAAGTCTATTATATCACAAGACATTGACAGACAATACAAGAGTAATAGAGTGAGTGGTAAAGAGACTGCCGATGACTTGGCATCAGTTGGCGCTCCACTCCGTGTCAGCAATGGGTTTAATGATGTCATAAACGGTGATAATAACGAAGAGTTGGGCGAAAGTGCGACAACTGATGGACGGTTTGTGTGTCATTGGGAGGGATGCGGCAAACGGTTCAACAATATCGCAGACATGTGTCAACACAAACGCTTTGATGAGTCGATGGTAGAGCTCTCGCAGACAAAGACCACAAATAGGGGAACGGGAGCTGTAAATAGGCGTCGACACAGTGAGCCCAAGGAAGCGATGCCTAAGAAAAGCGGATCAAATGGGAGTCGAAAACAGAGACAATCGGTGGCCAAACGAGCGAAGACTTCGGACGCGGATATCGATCCGAAAAGAGTGCCTAAAGTTGAGGGCAAATATGTGTGCGATTACGAGGACTGCGGCCGTTTGTATCACGTGTTTGGGGCCCTCAGGCGCCACCAGAAGTCGCACTCGGATGAGACGTTTTTCTGCGAGACCTACGGCTGTAACCAATACTTCCACGACTGGGGAGGGATTAAGACACACGAGTGGACAGGGAATCACGTGTTCGGACATCCGTACAAATGCGATGTCACTGAATGCCTGTACGAGACCTACTCGGGCGACGAACTGGTGGAGCATATCGAGAGCCACGGCTTGATCTACCCGTGCGAGTCGGTCGGCTGTTCGGCCACTTTTAGCACAGCTGACGATATGGCCGCACATATGGCAACACACGATCAGGAGCTTAGGGTCCGGTGCCGGTGGCCCGGCTGTAATAAATCGTATAGAAGTACGTATCACATGAATAAACACATGGATACGCATTCGCGAGAGACTGTCTACCGGTGCCAGTGGTCCGGCTGTGAGAAGGCGTTTGCGAATAAGAGGAGTGTCAGGGATCACGAGCGCCGCCATAAGGGTGTGAAGTCTGGTAGGTATCGGTGCCATTGGCCGCAGTGTGAGTACAGGTCCAGCAATGCCGACACATTTAGGAGACATTTCGAGTCACATAAGAATGAAGCAAAGAGTCAGCAACGAGTGGACAGACATGCGAAGGGCCGTAAGGTTAAGGAAAGTGTGCCACCTGTGAGCCCACACAACACGAGGTTCAGGGGCAACCCTAAAAAGTGGACAACCCTTCGGTAAAATTGATGTGAAAATTGAGTTTATATTATACGGTATTATAACGTCATTAGTTATTAATTAAAAAATAACTAAAACCATATTTGCATATTTTATATAATTCAATGTCAAATATACGGTAAATATACATTTATATCATTCATTACCCATCACTCCATGTATTAACATGTAATTCATAATCAAAAATGTGACACTCTTTGTAAAACTTTGTTTCATTTTACAAATAAAAGTAAATTTTAATTTTAATAATACAGTACAGTATAATCATTATACTATAATCTATATCACAATATAAAGCACTTTGTCTTAAGTTTAGTTTTATTTTGTGTGCAACTAATGAAATATTTTAAACAAATCTTATAATAAATAAATTTGTTATGAAATTATATGCCAATACCAATATTTGTATCAAAAGTTATGAAATATTATAATTAATTGTAAAGCACTCAATATCCGATCGCTTTTCATTATTACTATTATTGAGTTGAGTATCGTTTTCACGACTAGTTTTTCGTGAATACCTGTCCACTAAAATTATGAACGACACGAATAGCAACAAACAGGTGCCGACATAAATGGACTCAAACATCAACACAACCCACGAATATCTCTCCACAAAAACGCCTAAAATATACGGATTTAACAAATTTATTAAATCCGATGAAAACGTAGCGATCGCACCGATAGGGTTAGTGATGGACAGGTACTGCTCCAGGTATGCGAACATTGCCGGACACATGGCTGACAGTCCTAGACCTGCCATAATTGTCGACACCCACAGCACCGTTAGATTATATTGACCCGCATATAGGGTAATAGCGGCGATGATTAGTATAGCAAAGTGATAGCCAATCATTTGCTGGGGTTTGAATCGTAGGGCCATAAGTACACTGAGCCCCCGGCCCACAGTGAACGCCGTGGCCACTGTTGAGAGTAACTGTGCCGACTCCTGGGCCGTTAGCTTTAGGGGACAGTACTGGAAATATGTGGCACCGAATGCTAAGATAGTACATTCGGTTACTATATAAGTGGACAGCCATACGCAGAAAATGAATATGGNGGCACACTTTCCTTAACCTTACGGCCCTTCGCATGTCTGTCCACTCGTTGCTGACTCTTTGCTTCATTCTTATGTGACTCGAAATGTCTCCTAAATGTGTCGGCATTGCTGGACCTGTACTCACACTGCGGCCAATGGCACCGATACCTACCAGACTTCACACCCTTATGGCGGCGCTCGTGATCCCTGACACTCCTCTTATTCGCAAACGCCTTCTCACAGCCGGACCACTGGCACCGGTAGACAGTCTCTCGCGAATGCGTATCCATGTGTTTATTCATGTGATACGTACTTCTATACGATTTATTACAGCCGGGCCACCGGCACCGGACCCTAAGCTCCTGATCGTGTGTTGCCATATGTGCGGCCATATCGTCAGCTGTGCTAAAAGTGGCCGAACAGCCGACCGACTCGCACGGGTAGATCGAGCCGTGGCTCTCGATATGCTCCACCAGTTCGTCGCCCGAGTAGGTCTCGTACAGGCATTCCGTGACATCGCATTTGTACGGATGTCCGAACACGTGATTCCCTGTCCACTCGTGTGTCTTAATCCCTCCCCAGTCG